GTTGTTTTGACTAACTGATATGGTTGTTGGCGCGTTGACAATAAAGTTCCTATAAAAATTGTCGTTGCAGTTACATGTCCTTCGTATCAGTGCTGTCTGTGCACCATTCATTTGAAACTTTTTTTTTTACCACAATTAAGCATGTAATCGCTCTTTCAGTTGCATTTAATCTGTGCGCAGTGTCGGTGTGAAGACGGTCGGACGTGACCGAGGCGCATTCACTGGGTGCAGGTAGCATATTAGACGTTGTTTTACCCGTTACTTGCCTGAAGGGGGGGGGGGAGTAGGCGGTCTGGGGTGGAGGCGAAAGGTCTTTCCCCTCCTCTCCCGCCCTCCGCCCTCCAACGGCACAGGCAGTGTTGCAAAGACCCGCGTCTGTTCATAAATCTAAACTAACTCTGAGTAGCAGTGTTGCAACTCTATTCCAAGTTTTTACATAATTTCAGGGTGGGAGGGGCTCTCCTCTACCCCCCGCCGCCCTTTCCTCCACCCCGCCTTTCCTAGGAGTCGGTCTCGAACCCGCCTATGCTGAAGTTGTTGTTTGCGGTCACTACGCAACTCCCTCCTCCCCTTGGCTTTTGTTTTGGAAGGGGACACGGATGCACTATCATTCGGCAATATTGCGAGTGCAGGACAATGTCACTGAATAATTACGCGATTACTGTGTTTGTTTCAGTGATTGTGTGTAGGGATATGGCCATTTCTTTGGGATGCTAAATCAAGCGTAATCCTTTTTTCAGTATTTGCAGCATTAAGGCTGTTCTTTAAAAGGTAAACGACAACTACGCTGCCTCGAAAGGCCGGAATGCATTATGCCTAAAACTGATTTCGGAAATAAGGCCCACAAATCGTAAGACTGCTGCTACCTCTTCTCGTTCTGCACTTGAGGCAGAACATAGAATTATTAAGGCGGCTCAGAAAAAAGGGTTGAACTGAGTGGGGGAATTTGCCGAAAGTGGCAACAGTCGACTGATTGAGGGAAGGACGGAAATTTCCGCGACATGAGCTAAATTTCGAAGCCAGGAAAGCCGACGTGATGAAAATAGATGCTATTATGTTTTCGTTTGAGTCATTGCCTTTCTTTTCTGGTTGTGATGTACCGCTGCTTGCGTATTATTTTAAAAACCTCATTTTCTCAACGAAATAGTTTGATGCGAAAAAACTGTGATCGGGGGATTTCGGCAAGATTTGCTCTATACGATATCCAAATAAGCGCGGAATGGCACAGAAGCGTTTAGGAGGACGTTCTACGCAGGCCGAACATGCCAATTGGTGCATGGTCGATTCCATACGTTCAGAATTTTTTTTGCAAAATATGGATGACATCAGGTGCTGCCGGAGTCGCCTCTTTGCTTTCCGTACAGTCTG